CAGTTAAATGAAAGCCGTGCAATTAAAAACACAAAGTCAGAGTAAATCTCACACTGTCAGACGTACATAAGCAGCAGGTGAGGAGCTTACACCCTAAAGCGAGAATCATCCTTAATAACTGCACAACTAATTCAGCCGGCTCACACCACAAACTGCAGTGAAACTAATGCATTAAGGCCAAGAACAACAAAGCAGTGGCTGCTAATGTGAACCATCCAGCATGAACTCAGACATAAACCTGACTCTGCGTATCTCACAAAGACACACTGTAATCACTAATCCCACATTCCATTTAGCCACAGATGTTTGCCCATGAAACACAGTGAGTAGTGAAGGCCTCATGATGACGTTAAACATACTACACAAAAGATATGTTATCACCTCCAAAGTGGCCAAACCAGCAAAATGTGGCAGTGGGACAAACAGAGGTCAGTGACAGCCGTCGAGTCCTCTGCTATCAGTGCTATTCACATCTGACATAAAGGCGAAACACTTCAGTATTCATTCCTAAAGATAAATCAGCACATTGAAGCTGAAGCTGAAACTGCTGCCCTGTTGATTTCAGTAAGTGTTGAGTTAGCATTTGCTAATTAGCATAGCCATGGCTCGGAAAATGCTAATACCTTATGTTTTCTAGCTTAGATATTTTCCATGTCCAATCCAATAGCTAACCACCAAAGTACAGCACGCTAGCACATATTTAATACTGATTCAATTCTAATAGCAGGACTATATAAGCTGTAAGTATGTTAAAGAAATGTTGTTATTGCAGCTAGCTGTTAGCCTCAGTCGTCACTGTTGTTCCAATCTCTCAACACAGAACTGCTGCGTGAAAACGAGGCTGCGTGCCGCGGAGGCATCACCAAACCCTTGTAGGCTCAGAGGAGTGATGACTGTGTCACCACAGTGTCAGATACATGCCTCTTCAAGCTACATTGTTTTAACCAGTAGCTTCCTAAATGTCTAAGTTGATGTTCACCAGGGAGATCATGTTTCTGCAAGTCAGAGGACGGGGTGTGATTCAGTGAAAGTGGACAGAATCCAGAGGACACAGCAGAGAGGCAGAAAAGTCGGATAAGCGCTGAAGTTGTGGAGCGCGTGAAGGCGTGGAGGCTCAGCCGACGTGGCTCTGCAGGCATTTTATAGCACTAATATAAATATCATCATTAGCATTTAGCATCAACACGTTATTTTACAGTACAGGAATCATTTTATTACAGGGACGATGCTTTCTATGTTTTTACATTGAAATTTAGTGTGTAAACGATCAGTCAGAGTATAACTGGTACTATTCATAGTTAAAGAAGGATCTTCTGCCAAACAGCAACCTCCTGCAGTTCCTTTAATGGCCACTAGAGGCTGGTCCATAACCAGCAGCTAACAAAGCTTGCTGCGCTAGCTGCTAGCTTAGCACTCCACCTTGCCATTCAAATGTGGCTGCTTCTGACGTTACAGTATTATTTCATGTAAAACATGAATATTGACCACAGCATATACATCTATGCTTCTGCCATGTTCGAGTGCTTACAGCCAGACTTTAATAGTTGTTACCAGCCTATGACATGCAAACGAATGAAGAAAGAGAAGTAAATGTAGCTGAAGGTTGGTGGTTCGATCCCCGTCTGCTCTAGTCTACATGCCAAATATCTTGGACAAGATGCTAACCCCAAGTTCCTCTGCGATGCGTCCATCAGTATGAATATCAGAAGCACTTGCATAGACAGTGCTCAGTTGTAGAAGCGTGCTGTGTAAGAAGCAGTCCATGCACCGTTCCACACAGGTTGTTGTTTTTTGGCATTGACCCCTCTGTGCTGAGCTCGTTAGCAGCAGTCTGCACCTGTTTTCCATCAGGCCTCACCCACGGCTCAGGATGTAATCAGGTGTTTTTCCCCAGGCTGTCACCGTGTGTGTCTCTCCATAATAAAAGGCCAATCTGGCTCTGTCGTCCATCACAGCAGCATTTCCTGTCTGTACCTCAGGCCTCGCAACAACAGGCAGGGATCTTATCTCCGGCTGGCCTGGAGGACCTTTCCCTCGTCGTGTCAGCAGGACATAATGATGCCGTATCGAGAAAACCATAAACGTGCGACGGCTGATCTGTTATCGGGCTCATGGCACACGAAGGAGCTGAATGAGTTCTGTGAATGATGTGCTGTGATGTTCAAACCAGATAGGTGGATGTGATATCACCACACAGAGCTGGGGAGTGTGGTGCTGGTTCCATCTGAGTGAAGCGCTCGTTGTGAGGCTCACCTGCATCACTGTAGCAGACACATTCACCCAAACACAGACTGTTTGGTGGACAAAGTCAAACAACCATTACTGCACATTTTTACTTTGACAATGCAAATCTGTGCAAATGCATTACACAGCCACCTGTTAGTCCTGAGCCACCTGTGAGCAGCAGAGTTCAGCAGGACGAGTGTTCGTTCAGTCTTTGCTAACACAGCATTTCACACATTAACTTGTGCAACAAGTGTCTCCTGGAGAAGAGTCCATTTGGTGATGGACGTCCTTTATAAGGCAGGACGCGGAACCTGCAGCAGGTTCAGCTAATTCCAGTACAAACATTAAAAAGTCTGAGAGCTCTCACCAGGACACGGAGGTACCGCTGTGTTTAAAGCTTATTGGACTGCACT